CACGACGCACAGAGAGCTGCAATCAGATGAGTTGGGTTGGTCAGATGAGGAAGTTGGAGTTGGAGATGAAAAGATGATGAGAGAACCACCAGCCAAAGGTCATGAAGAGGAGGCAGCAGCTGAGGAGCACGCCGGTCACAGAAAGGAGGTGGAGATGGATGCAGTGAGGTACAACCCTGAAAGAACTGCGAGAAGGATGTGAACGGCACGGTTTGCCTACATCAGGGAGCAAGGCAAAGTTGCTCACGAGGCTGGACAACTTCAGGATGGACCTCGAGTCGAAGATGCAGACAGAGATTGCGAGAAAGCTGTACCGCGAGAAGGAGCGGAAACCTGTGTCTCTGGGCATCCCTAAGAGGCCAAGCCTGGAGCAGCAGAACGAGCACAACCTCACGCACTACCCCTTTGCTGGTTGGTGCCAAGCGTGCCTCAGCACAAGAGCGAAGGAAGAAGTCCACAAGCGCGACGTCAAGAAGGACGTGGAGAGCAGCAAGACGGTGATCAGCTTTGACTTTGCCTACACGTACGTGGACGACTACTCCAGTTCATGCAGTGCCGGTGATGAGCAAGGGAGCCCCCAACCTCAAGCTGATGGTTGAGGAGTTGGTCCGGTTTGGAATGCAGGTTGCTGGCTTTGAGCTGTGCAACACTGCAGAGACAACTTGGGTTTGGAGACCGAGATCCGCATCTCAGGAGTGCAACAGCACGACTGTCCAGAGTGTGAGAAGGCTGGCAAACTGTTTGAGGTACTATGCGGAGGAGCAAGCTCAGGTGTATCCAAGACACGCTTTGTGGCTGATCAACAGGTACCGCGTGCTGGGGAAGGAGCAGGGGAAGACCTGTTCGGGGAGAGTGTCATGTACAGACACCTCACAGCATGAGCCCAGGTTTGGCAGAGGAATCTGGGTTGGCAAATCCGCATAGACCAACTGCCACATCGTGCTCACGCCGGGCGGTGCTGTGGAGTCAAAGGACGGTGAAGCGGATGCCAGATCAGTTCATTGGCACCGACCTGGTGATTGCGAAGGGCCTTCCCTGGAACTATTCGGCTTCCGGGGTACTCATGAACAAGGTAGGACCGCGGAAAAGGATTGCAACAGCAGCTGATGAGGCAGAGGAAGACGAGAAGGCTGAGCTGGCCAACACTGAGGAGACAAAGGCAAAGGAGGCATCTGCGGAGCGTCAAGCGCGAGAGGCTGGCATGGCGGTGGCGCTTGGGTTGGCCACCCCAGGACTCTTTGGAGGAGGACAAACGCCAGTTGTGAAGACAGGGCTGGCAACTCCAAGGTTTGCGGAGAAGAGGAAAGCCGAGGAGCCTGTCATGGGAGAAGATCCAATGGCGACATCAAGCTCATCGGCGCCAGCAACAGCAGAAGCAACAGCCGCTCTGACAGAGCCCCGGGTGCTGAGGCAATTGCCTCCACCCCCAACAGCAGCGATGAGGAGTAAGAAAACAGGAAGAAGAAGAGGAGAGTGCGAGAAGGGCGAAAGCCATGAGGAGATCAGAGGAGGAAGCATTTCATGGAGCGCGAAGACCTGGAAATGACCTCAGCGAAGAAGAATCGCCAAGCAAGAGAAGGGGCGTCGACGAGTTCAATATCGATGAAATCATGGTGATGCCCCACGGAGACACCAACGTCTGGGACGAGATTGAGGGCATAGCCGAGCTGGACTTGAATGATTGGGGTCCAGAAGAAGCAGACGGCTTGGAAACGGTGGATGACGAAATGCAGATCATGGAGTTTGATCAGGAGGAGATCCAGAAGATGGATGAGAAAGCGGTGGAAGAAGAAATCGCGAGGTTGAAGGCAACGCCTGCCTTGACGGAGCTGCAGCCACATGAGGAGAACGGCTACAGCGACATCACCACCAAGATGGTCATCACGTGGAAGAAAAGAGAGGAGAAAGGAGGCTGGTTCCGGAGAGCGAGACTTGTGGCGCGCCAGTTCCGGTGGAGTGTGGATGTGGAGGATTCATTTGCTCCCACATCACTGATGGCAATTCCCCGGATGCTGCTACAGTTGGCAGCATGCTGCCCGCAGTACTGCGGCGTGCAAGTCATCGACGTCAAGGGCGCATTCCTGACGGTGCCCCAGCCAGAAGAAGAAAAGGCCTCGGTGACATGCAAAGGAAAGAGGTACAAGTTGGTTCGATGTCTGCCTGGACAGCGGACAGCAGCCAACAGATGGTGCATCCACTTCAGGGATGCAGCGCGAGAGTTTGGCATGGAGGATGATATGCAGCCAACTCTGATGAAGTTCAAGAGGGACCTCTACATCAGCCTACACGTGGACGACCTTTTGATGGTTGAGGAGAAGAGAAAGGAATTCATGGAGTTTCTGGGTGAGAGGCTGGAAGTGTGAGGTGCAAGGGCCATTTGACATTGGCGAGAGTTTCGAGTACCTCAACAAAAAGATCGACAGGACCTATGAGGTGAGGGCTTCGTGCGCCGGCCAGATCCCAAACACATCGAGGACATCGCGAAGAAGGCCGACATCAAGATAGGCAACTACAAGAAGACACCCGCGAGGAGCGACCTTGGGAAAAGAGACGGCAGTGCAGAGCTGTTGCGGAGACATCGGAATTCAGGTCGATCGTGGGGAAAATGCTCTACATTGGATGAGCGGCCTGATTGTCAGTTTGCCATCAATGCTCTTGCTGCGTGGATGTCAAAGCCTACGAAGACGGCGTGGAGGCATGCAGAGCACTTGGCAAGCTACTTGGTTGGAACGGAGTTCTATGGACTGCGCAGCACCTCATGGAGGTTGTGACTGACAGCGACTACGCAGAACTCGAGAAAGAGCATCACAAGTTTCCAGGTGTTCCTCGACGGCAACCTCATGGAGAGCAGGGTGAGTAGAAAAGCATCTCACTTTCAAGCGGTGAGAGCGAGTACGTGGCCATGGTCTCTGAATGCAGTGAAGGACTTTTTCTTCGGCATGTTTGGTCCTTCATCAGAGGCCACACACCAACTCTGGTGTGCAGGTCAGACACGAGAAGGTGATCAGGGTGACAGCGATTCCGACGAGTATCAACAGCGCGGACATCGGCACCAAGGCGCTGGCACGAGCCAGGATGAGAGGATTGAAGTTCATGACAGGCATGGTCGACGACGACAACGGTGGGCTCGGGAAGGACGAGTTCAGCGACATCGAGCGCAAGATGCTGAGCGACAAGGGCGCTAAGAAGATTCTCAGCGGCTTGAAGGATGAGTACCGCCTGGCATTGGTGGTGGCATTCGCCAACGTGATCAGGGCGAGTGGAGCCAAGGAGAAAAACGAGCCCAACGGAGCGGAGAGCGACAGCTGGATGTGGCCGGTGCTAGCCATTTTGGCCGGCATAGGAGCCTAGAGCCTGGTGCAGTGGCTGTGGAGTTTCTTCATCAAGAAGATCCAGAAGGAGATCATCGTCTCCGGCAAGGCAACGATTCAGGAGGCCAACGACAGCGAGCCGGAGGTGAGTGCACGTAGCCGGATGTTGCCAACAGGCAACGTGTATCACACGCACGAGAAGTGTCCCCACTACAAGAGTGGGAGACAGGTGCACAAGTGTCTCAAGTGCAGCGGATATGAAGGCAGCATGTGAGGATTGTTGTTGTGTTCAGTCATATCCGCATGCAAAGCATGATGAACGCATGATGAACATGCACCGCAATCGGAGGCTCTAATTGCCACAGGAAAAAAGCTGCCATTCGCTCGACAGTTTCTGTTACAGACAGTGGACGCGCAAGTGCAATCGGAGTAACAGGAATGCATAATGGCCCTTCTGATGTGCAGTATTGTCAAGGATTGATGACTGGCTTTTGTTCCAAGCGAATTCTGCATATGTCACTTGTGGGTGAATAGCGTGCAGGTGCTGCATTTTCTATCATTTGGCGTAAGAGAACGGGTGCCCGGTTTGCTGCACCAACCATTGCTGGTGCGATGGGCTGATGTCTAGTGTCTCACCTTGGTCGTGCAGGTGCGCTCGGGGTCTTTGGCTTCGTGCGTGTCAGACCCGATTTTTCAGTTTGAGTTTCGTTGCCTTTTTGTTTTGCCCGCGTGCTGCGGCCTTTTCGGGCATGTGGGAACACATGGCTTAGCCATGCTGGTACCTGGCCCCTACTTTTAACTGCGTGTGCCTGCTTGTAATTAGGGAATTCGTTTGGGTTCTCCCGCTTTTACTCCATGCATACAGAGTCTCTTCAGTCGACCGGCGATTTTGTTTCTTTTTGTTTTGTTTGGAGCGTTTGTGTTTCCCCCTCTTGCGCTTCGGTTGTTGGTTCGGTTTTTGCCGGTTGGGCACCTTTTTCTGAGCTTGCGCGAGATTTCCACCGATAGCCCGCGCAAACCAAACACGTTATGCCCGCGTTGTCATGGCAGTGGTTGTGTTTTTAAATGATGGTACGTGTTGCCGTTTTGTGATAAAACATGGGCGCCGGTAAATAGGGAAAACAATGAAACCGGCAAAAAAACACCAGCGTTTCAATTTTGAACCACATCCACATGTTGTATTTGAAGCGGCTTCTTGAAATGACCCTCCGCTAAATTCTGCTTGGAGTCTCCTATGGGGGTGCAATGGTGATGATTTGGGTGTTGTTGGACTTTTTGGGCCACATTTTGCAGATGAATTGTCAGTCATTCCCACATCAACGTGCTGCTGGATTTTTTTTGATAGAATGTTAAATTGTTCGGTCATTTCAGGTCAGTGTTGGGGCAGCATGCTTTCGCTGTACTGCCAGGTCTCAGTGATCATACCTTCATACGATTTACTGCAGCATTTTTCCATTCAGAAGGCTGTTCATGGTATCAGATCCCATCTGAAAGTTGGACCTAGCAGTATTATTGACGTGGATGTCTCATGCATATCCGCAGACGCATCAATGTTGGTGGCTTTATTAATTTCAATCAACATGTCAAGCATCAATTGAATCAGTTGCTGCTTCAGGGGACTTGGACCCTACAATATGGAAACACGCTGAGAACCAAACAAAAGTAGTGGGATTGCATCAGTCAAGACCA